AACTGCAGTCGCCGCGTGTTTTTGCGTGGGGTTTTGGTCTAAGGTAAAAGCCTGCATTTAAGTCCGCTTGAGTTTGCCAATGTTGATTTAATTCGCCAACGCTGGCGGAGGAGGCAGGGGAGTTTGGGGGGGTGGGCTGGTTTAGTGGCGAATCAACTAGCCAGACGACTTTTCAATTTCGGTCAAAAAACAAACAAGAAATCCAATGCACATTGTCCAGACCGGAGAGCAAAAAAAAAAATAAAATAATAAACAGCATGTGACTCATGCTGACTATGTTTTCGGGCGCGCCTTTCGCTGGCATTTTGGGTTTTTGCATAATTAGGGGCAAGCGCCAACGTGTCGCATGAGTAATGCAAGCCTCAAGTTCGTTGCCTAAGTCTTTCGTTTCAACTGTAAATCAATGGCAACGAACAAGCGGAAAAACTAAATTCGAAAAGGTCTTAGCCTGGTTGAATGAACTCACCATTTTTGGCGCTTTCTTTGTCAGTTCTTCGGCGGTAGATTATAAATCAATCAGCACACCTTTTGGCAAGCCCACACGCATTTTTCGGCTTAGTTCATGAACCCCCCAAAAAATCCGCCATTTGTCATCATTGGCTTTTCGAGTTGGAGGAAGCTAGGTATTTATTTCTCTCACTTAAGTGCTCCCATACAAACGTACAGCAAAATAATACTAAATTATACATACAATCATATTTTCCGTCTTTATTTTATTTTGTGCCTGATTCAAGGTCACTTCAACCGCGCTGTCTGGCTGTTATATAAACAAGTTAAATACACGATGGCTCTGAAAACTGGTATTCGAGCAGCTCGAGCGCGGATTCGCCTTTTAATTATACAAATTTTACGCTTGCGTTGGCGTTCCTCAAACGCAAAAGCTTTCTGAGAATGTCGGAGAACTGAGAAATATTCAACAGAAGTTAAAGATACCACCACTTCGATATCAAAGCAACCATTATTCACTAGAAAAGGCGTTGCATTCAACGCAGATGAAGACCATTACATGGCCAGACAATATTTTGATAGCTAACAAACCACAAATTAACCAATTAATAGGCCACGCATCACCGAAAAATGAAAGGTTCCCATACAACCCATACCCTGCACACTACAGATGATGCAAGCCTCTCCATCAATCAACTTTCCTAATTGCTTCTTTAGACGCCAACTCATATACAATGGAAATGAAGATAATTATGGCCCTGTGTGATCCGTGGAAGTGCTAAAAGTTCTACAGGGAGAAGAACTTTTCAGGGCGGTTGCTGTTGGGTCAGCCAATTAGCAGCAGATTCCGGCTTATAATGGCCGCACACAATGTGTGGAAAATGTGAATGGACTTAGGGCCCCGATGACACATTACTTATGCGCTGCACAACCAGGAATGGGCATTGAAAACTGGGAAACCGGGAAAAGCGGATATCCGTGATGTGACTGCTTAAATGGCCAAAACCCCATACGCCAGCCATAATAATAATATTTGTGTCCCCAAGATGGTGATGTAACTGGCTGCGAACTTGGCAGCCAATTTTTGGCCACAGGCAACCTTGGCAAACAGGTTCAGATCCCCTGGCAGATGGGGACATTTTATTATTATTTTTATTTCGCTTTTTTCTGTTCAACAAAACCCAGATAAAAACCCATTTAATTTGCACAGAAAACAGATTGCAATGCTTCTTCAATTTATTCCCCCAAGTACAAGTATTCCGTGAATCTTGAGCAAGGCGAAATGAAGCTAACCGGTTTGGCTGATGGATTTTTGGCACATCCACAACGTTCGCAGCCATTTATGAAGTCATCTTTCGATTTTTTTTTTGCCAAACGGCACAAACTTCGATTTTTCAGCCTGATTTTTAACTGTTTCTCTTTGCGGTTTTGCGGGTTTTTGCTTTTCTTGGCCAACTCCATAACACTCACCTCTATCCAACTTCGCCCTTTTTGCGTAATCCAATTTGTTATGTGTCTGTTGTTTGGCGATTTTGCTATGCTTTAAACTGGTTGTCCGGAACGTTGATGATTTTTAAATATTTTAACGAAATTTTGGTTTCACATTAGTTTGATGCTTTTTTTTGCTATACTTCCTTAATGGTTTGTATTTTTTTATTTGCGGGCTTCCTCTATAATTATTTCGTTTTGTGGCCAACACTCGTTTTACATGTTAACGCTGCGGGAATTGCACATTTAAGAGTTGGCCAAGAGCGGCCAAAGCGACAAAAAGAGCGGCTCCTTGGCGAATTGTGGCAAATTGTTGTTGCTGCTGCTGGTGTTGCTATTACGCTGTCTCAACACAAAAGACTGAAGCAACAAACTTTCCGACACTTTTACACTTCCCCAGAAAACAACGCGAAACATTCAAAAGATTCACAAATCATTCAGCACGTATTTGCTGGGCCCGGTTCAACCACCCGTCGTCGTTGTCGAGCTTAATAGCTTCCCAAGGGCAACAACAATCAGAGGAAAACACGACAAAAATATCACAAAACAACACACAAAATACACAAAACACAGCAGCAACAACCGCAACTATTTCAAATCTCGAAAATCTTTTTCAATCTTTGGGGATGGCGTTCCGAATCCGTTTGCACGATCCAATTAGAATCGAGTAAACGGAATTCAAGCCGTAGAATTTAAAACACTTGGGAAACTCACGCACGATTTGGAATCGAAACGAATCGGATCGTATGGAAGGAATGGGGATCGTAGGTTCGTTGAGCGCTGTGGATGTGTCTAGCACACCAACCTGGCCAAGACTGAAGCGATCGCACTCCGACAAAACCGTCAAGACGGCGGGTCAACCAACAACCGGTCTTGCCAAGATTCGGAGTTACTCCGCTCTGGGGTTTCTGGTTTTCGGAATTCGGATCTCGTTCGTCGGAGCAATTGGCAAGTCTAGGTTCGCTCTTAAAACGAGCTCTTTATATAGTTTGATGGCACTCAGTACACAGGTATTGCTGCTGTTTGTGGTCGCCTTGGTGTCGCAGCCAGTTTTTCAGCAACAACACGTCGTCCAGTTGAGCTGCACTTGATGATCGACGGGATAGCGACCGGGGGCCACGCTCCGCTGGCTCCCTTTAATACACCCATGGGTCCAGACTGTCTTTCTAATGAGTGCGGCATAATTAGAGGGTCGGGCGGGTTGGTCATCCCACATCGCAAGTCTGCACTTGGGAAAACAATTGTAAGGCATTTTAGAAAGAAAAAGGATTTTAAAACAATCAGTATACCTGAAACTTTAATAAAACTAAAACACAACTACAACAATTCTAAAGAGGTTTCTAAACTAAACAAAATTATGCAATAAAACATAAATTCTTTCTAGGAATTATCTAAATTAGAGACAAAATTTTCAGCGTGAAAAAATTATTTTAATTATCTTTTAAATTCTTTCTAGGAATTATCTAAATTAGAGACAAAGTTTTCAGCGAGAAAAAAATATTTTAATTATCTTTTAACGTTTTCTAAATGAATAAAATTAAATCCCTAAAATGGCAAAAATTAATAAATTATTTTCAGAGACACATCTTTTCATCAGAAGTTCTGCAGAATTGTACTTTAACCAAATTCTCGCATTCTTTTCAATTTTGATTGAAACAAAAAAACAAAATACAAAAATTACAATTTCAAAATAAATCAATATCAATACAGATTTCTAGTTATTATCCAAAAATGATTTGCTTTAAACAGAATACAAGACATAAAACTAGGCCTTAAGAACCCTGAATTTGTTACTAGTTTTCTAATTTTCTTGATTTTTTTCGAGTGCTTTTCAAAAACCCCTTCAGAGCAAGCGTCATGGTTTTGGCCACAGCTGTGATCGCGAACTGGAAGCCAGGTTCTGCTCAAACTTGGCAACAGACCCGCTGCAATTATGGCCAGTGTGTGGGCTGTCACCAGAACACCTTGATGACGGCATATATAGAGTGTGCATAGCCACTACTGCTGAGGCTGATTGAATCAACCAGCGGCCTTTCGCCGTGGGACAAATGTTTTATCTTCTGTTGTTTTACTTCGGTTGCACATAAATCTTGAACTTGCATTTACATTCTGTGAACCCAGCACCTTTGCACCCTCGAAAATACAGGTACCAGTACAGGTAGCTGTGACACCTAACGAAGACCTCGAATTGTTTTTATTTTCGGTGGTATTTCCCTTGAAGTCATGCGTTTCTGTTTATACTTTTAGTTATACCAATATTTATGATTATTATGCGTGTTCTTCTTTTTGACTTTTGATCTTCAAGGGAAATAGGAAAAATGGGTTTAACTTTACGATTTACTCCTTTCAGACGTGAGAAAATGCTTGGCAGTAGCGAAGATAATTCCGCCAATCAACAGTTTTATGCATAAAGTATTTAACATAAATTATCCATAGGTGTTTTAAGGGTTATGTTGTTCAGATTGGATTTCGAAATATAAATATAGATTGTTCTTGACGAAGAACACAGAAAAGTACAAAAGTACGAAATGTTCGTGAAAATTTTTGGCTGTGTACCTCAGTAATTAGAACATAGAAATGTACATAGTTCAATGCTTTAAATAGTTATTATGTATATTATTGTATAATATTATGTTTATTAATAATATTTAAGCTACTTCAGGGTTAAGCTCCTATAAAATCGTTCGTTCATTTTGAAGAATGAGATTAATGATTGAGTTACATCATGCTAATTCTGAAGAGTATTTGCATAGTCAGCCCACGCTATTTTCGTATCTTTTGTGTGAATTATAGCGCCCACTCTTGCAGCAGTTTATTAAGTTCCTCATTCCGCAAGAAAGTTTCCAAAGGGGCAACTGCCAGCCCAAGCAACAGTCGTCTGGGAGGGGGGGAAATCGAACAAACCGAACACTGAAAACGAAACCACCCCAAATAATACAGCAACAGGACACGGACATGGAAATGGACTTCTCCTGGGACCGGGGGCAATTCCCAGAAGCCGGCCGGGGAGCCAGGTGACTAGGTAGCCAGGGGTTACTGTCACTGTTTGGAGTACGTACAAATTTATTTACTTCAAGCAAATTTATTATATCGACTCTGATTGTGGAGATAGCAAGCAAATTAAATCTGAGAAAAATTCAATGTGTTTAGTTGGTCCAGGTCATTTATCAAATCAGAGTTCCCATTGCCACAAACATAATCGTTGTCCGTGCATTGAGCCACCGCAAAAATGGCCGAACTTTTGTGCCGCGAGAAGGAACTGTTCAAAATTAATCAGGAGCTCAACCTGCTGACCCTCAGTCCGGTCGCCGAGGCCATGTATCCGGGCAAAACGGGGTCGCCCACGGCCGTGGCCGTGCCCCGATATGCCACCTTCCAGAAGCACAAGGGTCCGAGCAGCCTGCTCCGCAAAAAGGGCATAACCACTGGCCAAGTGCCCACCAAATCCCGTCCGAGAACTCCGACCGGCAGAGATGCATTGGTCACATCCCCGCTGCCCGACACCAACAATCTGCTGGCCAAGACCAAGACGCCCGACTGGAGGAGCTCGAAACCGGCGCCGCAACCCACTTCGCCCAGCAGCCGCACGGTGTCCAAGTTCAGCACCTTCACGCGGGATGTGAGCAGCAAGACGGCCACGTTCGTCAAGTACCGGAATCCGCACTTCAGCGAAAGTGCCTCGCTGGACGAGCTGCTGCGGAACAACAATGTCGAGGATGTCGAGGAGACAGCCCGGAAACAGGAGGTCCAGGTCGAGGTGGAGGTCAACCAGAAGCGCGAGAGCACCACTGTCGTCAATGGCCAGCTCAAGAAGCAGGTCACCAAGGATAACTTTATCAAGTAAGTGGGCGAAAACAATTAAATGGCAGGTTGAAACCGATCAAATATATGCTCAGGTGTTAATTTCCTGCATTTACATACAATCTGATCAATCTTAACTCAGTCCACACCATGGTTTTTGAAAATATATTATATAATAAATATAATAGTCGGGCTTATCAATTTTGAAATACTTTTTATTCCAATATTTCATTATTATTATTTTAAGAAAATCAATTTTTATTTGTTTTAATTGGTATATCTCTAGGATTTGACCATCCATGTTAAGTACGCTTTTTGCAATTAAAAAATATGATGGGTCTTCCACATGGTTATCTTTGATTTGCCTTCCTAGCTTAAGCCGATGTGTATATATATGCCCTTTTCTTCAAAATCACAGCAAAAGTAATTAATCTCAATTTGTTAAAATCAAAATCAAATATTTTCTTCCATGAAATTTAGTGAACATTAGACGTTGTGTTCCTATCATTTAAAACATTCATCATGTTTATCTAAGTTGTTTGGAGATTTTGAAAATTGTTTTTCATATGTTTGTCCTAGTGACGAGTCACAAACTATGCCCAAACCGGTTGCTATTTAAAGTTTTAATACACAATATTGGAGCATAAGTTGGCTATGCTTTAAAGTTTAAACAGAAGTACAAATGGGAGTAAGAATTAAGCCTATGCTTCAATCCAAACTTTGTAAAATCAATGTGTACTAAACAAAGTAATTCAAAAGGAACATTTTTTGCCCTCTCAAATATAAGTTCTTGTTAATTAAATTCATTATTAATTCAATCAAAGCACACAAGAACTGGTAAAATAAAAAATTTGCACAAACTGTAAGTCACTTTGCCTTCTGCTAGTCTAGTAATTTAAGATCTAGTAAATAAAAACATACAATCAGAAAGACCCAGAAATTTTAATAAAAAGAGAATACAAAATTCGTCATTTCGGTAGATTCCTCAAGGCCAAGGTGGCCATCCTGGAGGAGGACCACGCCCACCACGCCGGCGAGCTGACCCGCCAGAAGGAGCAGCTCGAACTGGCCCTGGAAGCGCAGCGCAAGTCGGAGCACCAGCGCGACCAGACGATCTGCGCCAACAAGCTTCTCTCCGAGCAACTGATGCGGGCGGAGCGGCAGTGCGAGGATGCAAGTCGGCGGCAGAAGGAGCGCCAGCAGGAGTTCATCGCCCAGCAGCGGGAGCTGGAACAGCTGAAGCGGGACGCCAAGGTGGCCAGGCAGACGACGATGAACCTGGAGAACCGCCTGTCCCGCGCCCAGGAGGATGCCGAGACGGCACGCCAGGAGCTGAAGCAGCTGCGCGACGAGCAGCGCGACCAGTTGGAGGCGCAGCGCAAGGAGCTGAGGCAGCGGGACAGCCGGATCCGGGCCCTGAAGCGCCAGCGGGGCGACCTGCTCAACGCCTACAAGAAGCAGCTCTACATGATCGACAACCTGAAGCGGCAGACCAGCTGCCTGGAGCAGTCGGCGGCCATTGGGTTCGGCGAGAAGGAGTTCAACAAGGTGCTCGAGTGGAATGTCAAGACGTGACTCCTTTGCTAGGCATCTAAGCAATGTACATAAGTGGAATGTAATTACATTTGATGGTCTCTCACTCGGCCAAGTCCCCCAGCAATCTCGTTTCAATTAGCCGGGGGTTAACTCAATTAGTTGGCATCCTTATCCTCCTTTGACTTGGGGTATAAAAGTCAGCGATTCGGCTTGGTTGGGCACAGAATCATTCGGTATCCAACAGCGCTTAGACCTCAATTCGCACACTGCCCACAACCCTGAACGAAAACTGCAAGATGGCTCTGCGATTCACGCTCACTCTGCTCCTGGTCACCATCCTGGTCGCAGCCCTGTTCCTGGGCTCCAGTGAGGCCGCCTACAGGAAGCCTCCCTTCAACGGCAGCATCTTTGGCAAACGCAACAGCCTGGGTAAGCCTTTAATTCATATTCTGATAGATCCATCATCATTTAAATTCCCATCCAGACTATGATAGCGCCAAGATGAGCGCCGTTTGCGAGGTGGCCATGGAGGCGTGTCCCATGTGGTTTCCCCAGAACGACAGCAAATAGGACCACGCCCTGCGACAACACCTCCAAGAACTGATTTTGAGCCTACGACTAGTGCACCAGCGATCGGTGGGCAGCAGTAGCTCCACCTGCTTCTGCTCCTGCGACTGAATGGGGAAATGCCGGACGTTAGAAAAGTCATGTATAAAATTTATAGTGTAAGCCGTGCATATAGGTACATAGAACTTATGCCATACATCATATACATATATAATACTCAATAAACTTACAGCACTGAAAAACTCGCTCTTCTGTTTCAACTTCAACTTCAAATTCCAATTCAATTTAAAATTCAAAATTATTGAAATATTCTAATAGATACCTGGCTGCTGCGAACAGCACTCGCACTTGAGATACAATGGGATTAAAATTAAAATACAGTTTTGCTCAATTGATTGCCTAGTGGTTCCTGGGGGCTCGGCCACGCCCCCGTTGCCTCAGTTCGTTGACATGCTTGCGCAGATTGGTAATGTAGTCGGTCATGGATGAGGTGAGCGCCTGCAAGGAGTAATTCAGGTATTAAACTATTATAAGCTAAGGATTTTTAGGACTTACTGCATCCAGGACATAGCGAGGAATATAGCCCTTTAGGTCCAAACAAAGCACCCATTCCACAATGCAGCTATCCGACTTGCCAACGATTTCACGGAAGGCAAACCCACTGACAATGTTCTGACCTCTGAAAATGGGGAGAACCATATACACTTTAATTTGTAATTTATTTTCAAAATTAGCATACCAACCTTGTGTATTTGGATGAGGGCGGAACACCCGCATATTGCACACTTATCGCGGAGGTAACCCAAACTTTGTCCTTGGTCTTGCCCACACTGGGTGCTACATTTGGTTTTGTCATGGTTTCCGCTGCGATGTCAGACTGGTCCTTGGCATCCTCGAACTCATCTTGATCCAGCGGCGGTGGCTCCTCCTCAAAGTTGACAATGGGACCCAGGCTCTTGGCGCCCAAACTATTGCCCAGCGTATTGAAGGGCGCGGTGGGCGCCTTCGATGAGCTGGGAAACGTGGCCTTGCAACTGGACACGCTGCTGGGCAGCAGCGGTGTATGCGAATCGCCATCGGAAATGGTGCTAACACTGCCCTCACAGGAGCGATTTAGACTGCTGTTCCCATCATCATCGCTGCTGAGCTGCGCCGCCTCGTCGTCGTCGCAGATTTTTCCATTGTAAAAGAGACGACAGGAGCGCAAGTTGACAAAGTCCCGGCTCTTCACCATGCCACCGCCTCCGCCGGCAGAGACCTGATAGGTTATATCGGTGTAGGAGTTGACTTTCTGCCATAAACAAGCAATATTATTAAAAGGTTATTGAATATATACTCTGTTGCGCCACCTACTCGCACTATTTTTGATTCTAGAAGGGCAGGATTCCATTTGGGACAGTCTTCTATGCGATAAAACAGATCTTCCATTAGGGCCTTAGCTGGATATTTTATGCGAGCCTGTAGGAGATATTTATTTAATAGGTGAAAATATAGGGAAATATAGTATAAAAACCAACCGTGAGTTTGTAAATCTTGCCAATCTTCTCACGCTGAGTGCTGTGTATAGTGTCGCCCTTTTGGGTCACCTTCTCCACCTTCCAATCACCCGACTCGATGATCTCAAAGGCCTTTCGCAGGCAATCCAAGCCCATTTGGTTGTACTCCTCATCCTGAAATCCGAACGAAAAAAAATATTAGTAAGACAGGAAAACCTTCAGGCAAACAACTACCAATATCATCTCTTTTGATCGATGGTGGCACACTCATTCGCTCAGCATCTTATATAGTCTCTATTTGATCTGGACCGACTTAAGAATGCGCATTCATGAATAACTCACCTCCTCTTCCTCCTCGTCGGAGTGACGAGCCGTGTCCATGGGTGAATAAAAATCAGTAACACTTTGCGGCGGTCTCTCGTGCTCTATCAAAATAGCCGGCTGTTCCATTGGAGTGCGATCATTGGAGGTCATGGCTTAAATGCAAAATACAATTAGTATGTGATCTGAGATCAGTGAACGTACTGAGCCTGAGCTTACTTCGGAAATAGTGTTGAGCATGCCGTTCCTGGGGAATCACACGACAGTCCAGGAACCAGGCTTCTCCCCAAGCCAATATAAACGAGGTTATTATCAGGACGACCTCAAATACTTGTTGCTTGGAATCCAGCCACTAATGAAGAGATAATATAAAGTTAGTTAGCAGCAAACTTGTAGGCTATGATAGGTTTTTGAGGCTTACATCGAACACAAACACCTTGGAGATGAGGAACAAACAGGATCCACTTGTAGAGAGCTGCAAAGGAAGTTAAATAAAATTAAATCGAATAATATAATGAAAGGAATTGTAAACAAATCAATAAAAACAAGCTGTATGAAGTCTTTAGCTAATCTTATCTTATCTTTTCTAATGGAATCAGTATTATATGCATTAAATTCGCGAACCACTCATGGCTATATCATGTATAAGAATTAATAATTATATATAACATAAATGTTCTATAGTTCGAGGATCTCTTATAAATAAAAGCAATTGAAAATGTTTAGGAATTCATAATTACATACAAACGAAACAAAACAAAGCAAACATACATGTGCTATTCAAAGGTCTCTGATAAATACACAGAAATAATGAAAATAAAATCAGAGTAATATTCCGAAATGTTCAATTTTCAGAATTCATAATTACATATAGCATCCCTGTTCTATAAATCGAGAGTTTCATTAACAAAAATATTGTAAATCGGCTTAGAATTTCTTTTGTAAGCCAGAAGTTGCAATATAATTAAAATTTTTTACTAAGTTCATAGAAATTCTCTGTTTTTAAGGATATAGGATAACCCACCGCAATGATGGACCAGTGATTGATGTACAATATGGCGTAGAAAAAGATGAGAACGACGAATCGGCAGATGGCGATGGCCACCACATCGAAGAGCGACTTGTAGACGGTGTACTCCACGATCTGTTTGTGGAAGGCAGTGAATATATTGTCGCCGTTGATCTGCAAAACGAATGAATGAATCTCAGCTGAATCTCATTGGAATTAACGCAATCACAGTCACAGACCACAATGCAAATGAGCCAGAGCAAAGAGACGAAGACCAAGTCGAATGTGACGAAGAGGCAGAAAAATCGGCGAACCACGGACATCCGACCATCCTGCATATAGCCGGCCAGGAAGTCCTCCGTAATCAGGTTGATGGAATGTGCTCGCGCTGAAATTGGTTAGTGATCTATATAGTTTGAAGAGGAATCAACTATTTATATGGTCCTATACTCACACATATCATATTGCATGTTGTAGGCGCTATTTCCCTGCTGCGCATTGGATAAAATCAGCTGGGCGGTACTGCGGACATCACTTGGATCCATATAAGACATGGCAGAGTTGGTGTTACTAAACTTAGCTCATGACTTGAATACTGAAATTATAGATTTTAAGTATGACTAACTTTAAGGGTCAAACAAACCTTGCATATAACAGATTGGGTCAAAACTCTATATACGCACCTCGTTTGCAACCAAACGTAAACAGAGCCAAAAACTAGGTTTCAAATGTGGAGCAATTCTAGTTGTAGATCGGCGGTTATAGATTATCGATACGCACAAATGATTCGTCAGCTTTGCTTTCTTTGTTTTTTCTCAATCATAAACAAAACTTCTCAAATGGCAAGTACCCGCATATGTTAGTTCTCAAAAAGCAACTCCCTCTATCCGGTATACACTATTTAATAATATAATTTAACCACTAATAATGGAAAAACCACAGGAACTGGCGGTTTTATTATTAGCTTGTTATTTGTCCTAGTTTTAAGCCTTTTAATTGCACTATCTGAACAAAAGGGAAGCCGACGAACAGCTGTTTAGTGTGCCGCACTTGGATTGCTAAAAAATACCAGATAGCCAAAAAATACCAAAAGTCGTTACAAAATACTTGAATATTTAAATTTTTATTTTATACCTCTGTTTAATTACTCAAGTGTATGGATATAATTTTAATGTCATCGTAGGGCTTATCCGTTTTGGGATTCGCCTTTGAATTGCATATGTTGAGTACCACTTCCATGCCGCGATAAACTCGTCCGAAAACAGTGTGCTTGTTGTCGAGCCAAGGCTATGAAAAACGAATTAATTAATAGCTATATTGATTAAATAAACTAAGAAATAGCTACCGTGGGCAGGACTGTTATGAAAAACTGGCTGCCATTCGTATTTGGTCCCGCATTTGCCATGCTAACCGTGTACGGACGATCGTGTTTTAAACTTGGCACAAATTCGTCTTTGAAATCGCTGCCCCAAATGGATTTTCCACCCGTGCCCGTTCCCGTAGGATCGCCAGTCTGCACCATAAAGCCCTTGATCACGCGATGGAATATGTGTCCATTATAGTACCTATTGACATGGTGCAATTAATCAATTAAGTTCAAGTGTATAACTTCAATTCATACCCATTTTTCGCATGAACACAAAAGTTTTCCACGGTTTTGGGAACCTCCTTGAAGAATAACTTCATATGGACATCACCTTTCGTGGTGTGGAGCACCACGTTCTCATAAATACGTTGCACGACTAGAATAGATTGAGCATTTTGTATTAAATTGGTCTTGAAATTTTGGATAAGGATAACCTTCGTCTTGAAAAGGTGTTAGCGTGCAACAAAAAGTAGGTTAGTTGTTAGTAAACGAACACCAATTAGATAGTCCATAACCAAATACCTGTAGCCTCTGGCACTGCGATAATATCCTCCTTCGACGGCTTCTCGTTGAATATATCGCGATCGACATCTTGCAGATCCGATGGCAATCTTCGGCTGAACAAGTAGAACCGGTTTTTCCTATTAAAAATACAATATTCTTATAGATAAGTCTTATTGCATTATTGAGTCGTGTTTACTAACTTGTACGCTGTGCAAAAAGCTGTTGGATCATTTAAAATATTCTGCAAAGCTGGGTTTTCACTGGCCTCCTGCTCCATTGTAATGGCAGCTTTTTGCCGCTTGATTCTTCCCTGGAAAAGAGCCACCTGCAGGGGCCGAATGTTGTCCGTTTTCCCCAGAATGGTGACGCAGCGATTCGTTACCACATTGATCACCTTGATGCCCAGCATCGTAGGGTAGAGTAAAAAGTTTCCCGTGCTGTCGAACAGGATATTAAGGGTTGTGTTTTGAGCAGTCTTTTCTAGATCTCGCTCAGCCGCCATTCTGTAAAAGGTAAATGTTTAGTATCTAATTTATATACTACTACATA